AGGCGGGGCGGGTGGGCGCCGGCGCCCCGGTGTACCTGGCGGCCGTGCTGGAGTACCTGACGGCCGAGATCCTGGAGCTGGCGGGCAACGCGGCCCGCGACAACAAGAAGACGCGCATCATCCCCCGCCACCTGCAGCTGGCCATCCGCAACGACGAGGAGCTCAACAAGCTGCTGGGCAAGGTGACCATCGCGCAGGGCGGCGTGCTGCCCAACATCCAGGCCGTGCTGCTGCCCAAGAAGACCGACAGCCACAAGGCGAAGAGCAAATAAACCAAACCTGAGGGGCGTTCCCACCTCAAAAGTAACCCAAAGGCTCTTTTTAGAGCCACCCACTTCCTCGTAAAAGGAGCTGTAGATCCTAGCCAAAGGAAAAAAAAAAAAAAGCCAAAGCCTGTCTCACCTTTGCTGTTGAAAACGAGATGATTATTTTTTTTTTAAAAAAATTAAATGTTGTGAAATAATGTGTTAATTGCTGGTAAGTATGTGCTAAAAATAACGAGGCTTGCTCCAGGGGAAAGGAATCGTTTTGCTCCGGGAGGGGTGAGAAAGGCACGAAGTTGCTTATTCCTGTAAGAAGGAGCCCACAGCCCCGGCCGGCCGCTCCTCTGGCAGCTTAACCCTGCGCCAGGTTGAGGTAACTCACCGATGTCTGTAAAAGCAGCCCTCCCCCCCCCTCCCCCCCCCCCCGCACAACCTTTTGACCTACGGACGTCATTTTTTTCGTAACAATAGGCATTCAGAATTATTAATTTTTAATACAGTTTTTCTCATGGCTTTGTCTGAGCTGCCGTGCCCATTTTCCTCCTGAAAGCTGAATAGGTTTGAGTGTAATTTGTTGTCGCCGGACAGGCAATTTGAGGTAAAAAGGACTGTTGCCGGTTTTGATTCCACCTTACACATAGTGCTGAACATTACCACATAAAGATGTTGAAATAGAAACAAAAAAAAGAGTGGTTAAAGTTCAAAAAACCACATTTTAATAATTATCCATTTGAAAACATAAAGTATTTGAATCATAACATTGCACAAAATTTTAGTACCACCGACAGTTACAACAGCGAGTGGTAACAAGCAGTTAACAGGCCTTTGGCAAAACAAGGGGTCCTAGGTGATAATGAAAATATCAGGGAATACTTGTTTTAATTCTCTATCCTCTGAGAGTTAAAATGCATTTGTTTTTAATTTGTTTAAGCGTGATCTTAGTAAAGTGCAGGTGAAGACTCCCCCCCTCTTGCTATCAATCAGCCAGTCCTTATAGCGTAACAGATACATCGGTTGGATATGTTATTTTTTAGTATTACTTCCAACGCAGGAACGAATCAGTCACTGGACAGTAAAAAAATGGAATGTTTCGCAGCCTGCCGTGAAAGGGGAGCCCTAACTCATAACTTGAGGAAGTTTTATTGTCTAGAAGTATGGAAAAATCAGCTGCAGCAGTGTCTCCTTAGACAACGATGACTCAGATTTTTCACCAGTCGAGCCGTATCAAAATAAAATAGTGCTGAATTATAAAGCGATGCGGCACTGCTTATAATTGTTAACAAAACCTGGCCATGTTAAGTTCTGGGGTCACCTAATTTATTAAGAAAATACATATTTCTGTAGCAGAGCAGTAGGGAACCACGTCTGTATTGTGCACACTGAGCAACACAGCACGAGCTGCTATGCTGTAAAAAGTCATCTCCTTCTGGGGCACACACAGCCCTTCACAGGACTTTAATCTGCTTCTCGCCTTGTTGCATAAAGCACTAATTTAATTTATTTTAATTATTTTGAAAGGGGTACAGGATTTTGGACAAAGAAGCTAATTTCTAATCCATATTCAGTGCTCAAGATGAGCCTGTGTTACTTCCTCCTCTTTGAAATCAATTTGCGATTAAAATACCGATTCAAATCCCTGATTTTCAGTTCAGATTGAGAGAAGACCCTTTAAAGAATAATAATTAATTACTTTGGAGATTTAGTTGCCCACGTCGCGGATTTTATTTAGAAGGAAAAACAAAAGTTTCTGTCTCCCGAGGTCTGTCCAGGTCCAGGACTCAGGGTTTATCGCCTCTTTTTTAACTCACCCTTTGCCTCTTCGAAGGGAAACTTTGCCGAGGGGAACAGCAGTCTTTCTTTTCCACGCCGCTGCGAACTGGGGGGGGTCGGTGGCAGAAATTCTGATAAAAACAGGCTTTTTTGACTCCTAAGAAACACAAAATGAGCGGGGAGAAGGGACCTTTCTGCCGTGCAGCGGGGCGGGCGCTGCAACGCACCAATCACCGCGCGGCTCCTCTCTATAAATACGAGGCCGCCGACTTGCTCCAGGCCCAGTGGTTTCCCCTGATTCGTGGACGACGGCTGCCACTATGTCGGAGACCGCGCCTGTTGCCGCTCCCGCTGTCTCCGCCCCCGGCCCCCGCCGCCAAAGCCGCCGCCAAGAAGCCGAAGAAGGCGGCGGGCGGCTCCAAAGCCCGCAAGCCCGCGGGCCCCAGCGTCACCGAGCTGATCACCAAGGCCGTGTCCGCCTCCAAGGAGCGCAAGGGGCTCTCCCTCGCCGCGCTCAAGAAGGCGCTGGCCGCCGGCGGCTACGATGTGGAGAAGAACAACAGCCGCATCAAGCTGGGGCTCAAGAGCCTCGTCAGCAAGGGCACCCTGGTGCAGACCAAGGGCATTGGTGCTTCCGGCTCCTTCCGCCTCAGCAAGAAGCCAGGAGAAGTGAAGGAAAAAGCTCCCAAGAAGCGGGCGGCCGCGGCCAAGCCCAAGAAGCCGGCGGCCAAGAAGGCCGCCAGCCGC